GGGGGGGGGGGGTCTTCGACCTGAAAAATCAGGGGTTAGGATTTGCACCCGGTCGAAAGAAACCTTGCTATCGCAAGAGTAACTCCAGCTAGCTTCGCTAGCTTTCGTGATTTGGACCTTCTTTGCCACTCTGTCAATGGCTTCCCACCTGGGCTCTGAATGCTTCCTTTTTGGCAGAAGTGATCGCCAACTGCTCCTGCGCACTGCTGCTTCGTAGCGTTGATCTATTTCTGACAAAACGATTCAAATTATGTCCATAGCATCAACTGCACAAGCTTTTAAGTCACATCGCTGGGGAATACATAAAACAATCTTAAAATCAACTCAGAACGTATTTGCACGAAAAGGGACCTCCCAGAAACACATCAACGACTATAGTCATCCTGGAGTAGATAGAATCTACTTTCGTAGCGTGTGTGTTTTTTAATTCAGGGTTTTTGACATCCCTTTCATTTTATGAAGGCTGACCCTATAGATAGAACCTGAGAAAGGAGAGGACGAAAGCCAGCGAGAGACCAATATGGTAGTGCAAGACTGGGAGGAAAAAATAGCGGAGCCGGCGGACTTATTGTTGAATGCCTGTAGCTTTCGTGGAGCTTGTATCAACTTGGAGTAGATCAAGATCGGAGCACAGCATGAGGTGTTGAATGTTTTAGGCTTTCTCGATTTTCCTGGTGCGGTGCTCTCTGGAGCGTCCCTGTTTGGTGGTCTGTTTAGGAGTCCATGTAAAAATAGACGTCGGTGAAGGTGCAAGGAACTGCAAAGGACCTGCAGGTAGTTAACTGAGAAGTAGCAATACGTGAGCCAACACGAAAAAAACAGCGATGCCCGAAATACTATTTCTTCGCTGTTGTCGGCCATATTTCGGGCATTGTGCTTCAGTCTTCCACACGTGGCCACAGAGAGTCAGAGAGTTGCTGCCACCAAACGCCCCTTGCTTGCTCGCTACGAAACCTCAGAGCTGCGCAAAACAATCAGACTCCGTACAGAGATACATAATGAATGCCCGAAGGACATCCTTTCTGTTGCTGTGGTAAGTGTTTTGGACATCGTGTTGAACGCTTCCGCGTGTCCCGGCTTGAGTTCACCCTCGCCCAACTGGACATACTCACATCGTTCGCTCCCAGAGCGTTCACTCTTTGTTGCTTGGTCCCTCTTGGTATGATCAGAGCTACACAGTCCCTATTCCCTGCTCAGGACTAGAAAAATTGTCTCCAGACCCCTTCATGATGGTAATGATGCACTACTGGGCGTCATTTACATCACTTGCATCACCAAACCACTTTTTCGATGCTTTCCTGACCCTACTTTTGAACGCTCTCCCCCACCACGCTCAAGGTTCGACCTCCCAAAAGTTGCCTCTGCGCGACCACCCCCCCCACTCCCTTTATTCACTTCGTTCACCCTAAAAACTCAAGCCTTGCCTATCGGCTGGCTTTCGTGATATAGTGATAAGATTCTTATCAACTCCTCCCATTCCTGTATTTGCTCATTTGTTTTTTCATGTTCTGTTCCTATGTGTATTATCTAAGTGTTCCTTTCCTGAATTTTCTTTTTCATCTTCCTTTGACTGTTGCTCCTTTTATTTGCCTGTTCCTTTTCCTGTCTTTTCCTTTATGTTTCTTTTCCTTTATTCGTCCGTTTTCCTTTTTTTGATTTCTTTGTCTGTTCCTTTTACTTGTCTTGTCCTTTTCTGTGTCCTTGTCCTTTTTCTGTGGCCTTTTTCTTTTTTCTTTTATGTGTATATATATATATTATATATCTTATGTTCCTTTGACTGTTCTTTCTCGCTTACTTTGCTTGTCCTTTTCTTTATCTTTGTCCTATTCCTTTTCTTTTCCTTTTCCTAGTCTTTTATCCGTTTACTTTTCTTGTCCTTTTCCTGTTGTTTCTATTTTTTACTGTTCTTTTCCCTTTACTTTCTCTTTGCCTTTTCCTTCCTTTTTCCTATTGCGTGTCTTTCGTTTTTCCTGGAAAAAGAAACGGAATGGAAAAGGAAAAGGAAAGGGAAAAAGAAAAGTAAAAGGAAACAGAAAAACAAAAGGAAAAAAAACAAAGAACAGAAAAGAAAAAGGAAACAGAAAAGGAAAAGGACAAAGAAAAGGAAAGGAAAATACATAATAGTACTGTAAAGAAAAGACAAAAGTAAAAGGAAAAAGAAAAGAAAAGGAAAATGAAACAGACAACGAATTGAAAAAGAAAAGATATATAAAAGGAAAAGAACAGCAAAAGGAAACTAGATAAGGAAAAGAAAAAGTAAAAGTAAACAATAACAAAAGGAAAAATACAAGGAACATGAAAAGAAAAAGTAAAAAGTCACAGAAAAATCAAAGAAAAAGGAAAAGGACCAAGAAAAGGAAAGGAAAAGGAAAAGAACAAGGAAAATGAAACAGAAAAGAAAAAGGACAGAAGAAAGGAAAAAGGAAAGAAAAGGAAAAATAAGAAGAACAGAAAAGGAAAATGAAAACAAAGGAAAAGGAAAGGAAACTGTGTAGGGAAAGGAAAGAAAAATTAGGTCCTGGAGTCCTGGAGTAGATTTGTGACAAGCACCTACAATCATATTATATATTCTATCTGGAAGAGCCGGTTTTGAGGAGTGATGTTTTTGAAAATTCGTCCATTCTATCTATATATACTCCAGGATTATTATAGTCTCAAGCTTGGTCTGGAGTTCTGTTGATTCATTAGTTGTAAAAGTGGTTCACGCTAAACAATTCTTGCTGCACAGGGAGTGTCAGAATGAGGTAGTCGGACCTGTATGTCTCGGAGCTGCTTCATCAGCTTGGCGTTGCCTTGGAGCACCTTCCACACAAACGATTGGCAAGAAATCAAAATCTCAAGTCAAAGATTGATATTCCACTTCGCCCAGAAAATGAAAGGCGGCTTCAAGCAAACTCCTCACCGTCAAACACACCTATTCATGCCCATTGACCATATTGAAGACCTTTGCAAAGGGGTGTGTTGCATTCTTTGGGAACTGTCTACCTTAGAGTCTACCCAGTGTGATGCAAGTGGCAGGGTGGTGTCTATTTACTTTTTGTTGTGCTTTCAGATCAAACAAAGTCTGCTTTGAGGTTGGTTTCGGTCAACAGGCTTCGAAGGTTCAATTGCAAGTCTTGCAAAAGAGTCCAAAATCCGGGAACTGTTCCTTCAAGCTTCCTCGATGCTATTGCATTTACCAAGCCACCACCCAAGAGAGGGGACTCCAGTGGCATGGCTTTGCTACCCCACCAGCCTGCTGGTATTTGTCGTACTGGACACCCATCTGAACCTCCATAGAGTGATGAAGGATAGGGAGCGTGTTCGTCACCTACTAGGGATGGCCTCCAACCTGAAAGCAAAGGAACCTACTAGCGACGGCCTCCAACCTACTAGCAATGGCCTCCAACCTAAATAGTACATAAATCAAAACTCACCCCGATGGAATCCTTGACGTTTTTCAGTGTCGGCATACTCAGCGTACAAGCTTTGCCTGGACAACCTCTGCCACTCGCTTGAACCAAGGGCCAAATGCCTTGTGTTCAGTCATCTCAGCGAAAAGTGGAAGATCTGATAGCCCTCGAATACAACCAAAAACAGCCAGGTCAGAAAGGTCCGGCTTATCGCCACCACGAAAAGATTTGCTGCCAACTTCGCTGGTCCATGTATCAACAGCCGCGAACAAAGCATCACGCTCATCGTCCATCTTGTACTTCTTTTTGATCTTGCCGTGAGCAGCTGCCATGCCTAGTGCACCCAGTGCGCGAGTCGCCACAGCACGCGATTGGGAGAATTCCGGGCACTTTTGCAAGTAACCCAAAGCGGTCCAGCACTCGGACACACTACGCGTAATGTTTGGGTACACGCAAACAGCAAACTTTTCATCACACCAAGAGTTCCAGCGTCGAGCCTCACTGCTTAAGAAGTGGCTCCCATCCACTTCCGCACTTGCCAGAGTCCCCTCTGAGCCAGCAACCTTGTCGACAATCTTTGTCGAGTCACCAACCACAGTCCCATCTGCAAACACAGCGATGGGCACCTTCTTGTAGTCCTTGGAGAACTTGATCTGCGATCTTGTCAAAGGATCCACTTCCACTGACTGGTATGGAACTTTCAGAAAATCTAGTGCGGCCTTTGTCTTGTTGCAAAAGGGGCAAATTGCATACTGGTAGAGCTTCAATGGCTGAGCAGCCCGCAGCAAGGATCTTTTCATGGCTCTAAATATACCAAATGCCAAAGAAGACAACGAGCCCTCCTTGCTTGTGGCTTGAGCCAAAAAGTCGACAAAAAGCCCAAAGCAACAAAGTTTGACCATGCTGGCACCATACAAGTCACAACCTATGATGTTGAACTCCGCACCTGCTCAGAGGTGAACTCCACCAATGAACCAAAGCTCTTTGAATGGACCTGCCAAGCAAAAGCTCGAATGCCCGGGATGTTCGGTGGAGGATTTGGTGGTGCCAGAATCTACAGAATGCTTGCAAAACTGTGCACCAGTTTGCCTCCTTGGAGAGTTCGTTCGAGGACTCTTCATGTCGCAAGGGAGGCAACTGCACCTAAGCTGGCATCAAGGTCTGCTCTTCTCGTCCACGCAGGCTCCAAAATGAACTGTACTGTCTGTCAGTGGGAACAGAACTTAATTATCTCTTGCTGAATTAATACTTGTATCTATATATATATATAATTCAAACTTGGGAAATTAGATGCATTTAAAACTGCATCGAGCGCACCGCAGAACCAGAGCCAGAGATCCGGTCGCCCTGGCCGACAAGACGTCACCATACAAAATGCAGCCCCTTCTTTTAAGCCCGTGGACGCCCCCTGCCTCCTTACTTAAAGTACGCGCCTACTGAATTAAGGGACAAGTTCGCTCCTAGCTACTTAAGCTACTACCTACAAGATGCAAAAGCTCGCGCTTCTTCAAGGAAGCTCTCCCGCCTGAGGGCGTCCTTGAAGAAGTGCTCGCACTGATGATTTGGTTCGTAGATTCAGATGCAATTCGAGACTTGTTTGCATAGCGTCTTCAAGTGTCACATTTGGGACCTGGCATTGCTCCCAAATGGCCTGCTGTTGTCGTTGGAGCCCACGGTGGGCGCTATCAAAGTAGCCTGAAATCACCTCCACAGAAATTTCACACATGCGAACACTTCACTCAAAATGGAATTTTGAGATTTGCCACTCCCTACACTAATAGAAGAAATTTGGCAAAAGACAGCCTGACCGCCTAGTCAAACCAAGTGTTTTCAGTCTTCTGTCTTTAATGGTCCACGTCGTGCTGGTGATGCGTTCAAAGAATTCTGCATCGTTGCATTCTCAGCACTATCAAGAGTAAAAGCGTGTGTTAAAAGGAATCATCCAACAGATCCTGGCCACTGGTGTTACTCCGGACCAAGCGGGCCTGCGGGCCTCAACAATGTTTTACAGGTTCCTTACACGTTTCTACAAAGGTCAGCTATCCGATCAAAGCCGGTTGGTGCAAAGTATCTTGGCGGGTTGTTGCAATGAACGGGATGATGTTGATAGTCTGCTGCTCAAATTCAAGATATCACTCACAAAGTTCGGGCAATCAGGCTTCTGGCTTGCTGCTAGTCACGAAGCTGCGTGAAATGCTGACACCTTATTAACCTCATTAACCTCAGCCACGTCACAACCCCAGAAAAATACAACATTATGTATTCTGTTCAAATAAAACCTAGAAGCAAAAAACAAAAAAAGTGCTTCACCAAGTCTTAGAAAACAATCATCTGTTTTGGGTGGCCCAGGTGCCGTTTTCTATGGGATAAAGACTTGTATGATGAAGTTGGTTGGGCCCCAGGAAAAGGACAAATCCGATGAATTTTGGGAGACTGCTAAAACATTATGCAATCCACCCCTGGAAAGGGCTTCCCATTCCCGCTGCGACCAATGAATAGAGGACACAAAAAAAGGTTATTCAATTATTGTCTTTCTCTGAGTTGTAGCATTCGTACTTCTAAGTTCATCATACTTGATCTGTGTCTTTACATGTTGCCTGCTTGACCTGGCTGTAATACTTGTTGCTTTCCACTGGCACAGGCATAGCTGAAAACAACCAAATATGGTATGATTGACATGGGCATCAAATCCCCCAGCAATAGCGTCCTTGCTCCTAGTAGCGATGCCCTTTGCTCCTAGTAGCAAACATTGCTCCTAGTAGTAAGGCCAGGAGCCCCTAGTAGCGTCCTTGCTCCTAGTAGAGCAAAATCAAAAAGTTGTACTTTTGAGGTGGCAAAGTCCAGCTCATAAGCATCCCCGCATTGCGCTTGCAACCAGGCTTGTTATGCTCACTCACATGAAATATACTCAACTGTGAGGATAGACTGTTGACAGCTAATGCAATTGCAGCGGAATTGATTGACGGGCGAGAGGCGATCGACTGCCCAGGATGAGACCTAATAAGAATATGGATTTATATATATATATGTATACACATATGAGTGGAATTATGATGGCATTGATCAATGTGCTAACCTACAGAGTCGATTCACTGGCCAACCCCTTCTCTACATCAATAAAGTATCGTTCTCGAAGACTTCCCAAAAACAGTGCCCTTCTCAGATTCCAGACCTTGTTCATTGCGTAGAAATTGTGCCCTCCACGCCAGGCTCGAGCCACAGCAATAAAGTGCAAGTATTCCTCTGAATCCCTATTCAAATGTGTCATTCATATTTATGCAAGCAGCAAAAGCCTGACATTGACGTGCCCTAGAAGAAACCTGACACAGGCCTAGGACGTAGGACTATATATATATATATATATAATAACGTTGGAGGTCACACTTTTGTCAACACCAATCGTATCGGTGCCATTTGAAGGTGCGCTTGCCAGGCTTTGTGGGCATCCAAAGGATCTCCTTGTTCCGTTCTTGAAGATCGGCAAAGTAAGCAGAAGCCCACCAAATCCGCTTGGAACTATTCTCAGCAGTCAGCAGGGCTTCTGAGTAGCGGCTCTCACCATCTGGCCTTTGAGTCTTAACACTGCACGAGCTCAGAGACTCATCCAGGCTAACAGTATAGACTGTCTCTCGATCATCTTCCCACTGACCCAAGATCTCTTCCAAGCAAACTTGGGCCCAGCTTTTAATGGGCGCAGCCGAACCTGAGGATTGGCAAAGAAGCCAGCGAAATATTTTGCCTTTCCCAACAGGGACCCAGGCAACATCGCCTGCACCTCGCACATCCAAGTAGAAAGACTTCCCCCACATCACACACTGCTTTTCAGCATCGTACCTCAATAGGCCCTCTGACACTTTGGTTCGTCCGTCAGAACGTTGAGTTTCAACGGTACACGAGTGACCAGACTCATCCATTGTCACTGTATAAGTGCTGCGGTCCTCATCACTCCATCTTCCCACCATCTGTTTAAGCAATGCTTGCAAGTTGCTCCTGCTCAACACATAGGGGACCTCCAGAGGTTCATCAGCCGAATCAGTGGCAATGCAGGACTCCCACCAAAACTCTCCCCCAGACTCTGTTGACTTCCAGCAAATGCTAGTGTCGTTCCTCACGGGCAGCAAGTAGTAGGTATCTCCCCAAAACACATCACTGGCATTGTACTTAATGGTCTCAAAGGCTAGGCTGGTACGGCCATCTTTCAAAACAATTGTGGCACTACAGCTGGTGCCGGAGTCGTCAAGTGTGATGATGTAGCGACTACCCAGGTAATCTTTCCACGATCCAACAACTTCTTCTAGCGTGGGTGGCAATATCTCCTCTGGCCAGGTCTCATCTGGGCCCCAAAACTGCTCTGCATCCCAAGCCTCCCAGCCAGCTGGCTCAGGACAGATCTGGATTTCGTGACTTTGCCTTTCCAACTCCAGCCTGTACCACGTGTACGGCTGGACGTCCTTCAAAGGCTTCCAGTGCACCTTGGAACTGTTGGAGACATCGACCTCAAGGTAGTAGCTTGTCCCCCACATCAAGCAGTTTGTCTTGCTGTTGTATTTCAACATCCGATGGGTAGTTTGTATGCGTCCACCCTTTCGCGTCGTTCTCACACTGCAAGAAAACCCAGTCTCATCCAAGCTCACCTCGTAGCGGTTTCCTTTGGAGTCCCCCCAGTCTCCCAAGACCTGCTCAAGCCAGTACAGGGCCATTCACTCAACACTTTGGCAGGGCAGCGAAGATGTGATGTGCTGAACAGGTGTACTTTGACCATATTCCGTCCTGCTTCAGCACCAAAATGAAAAGGAGCTATGCAGCTTCTGTATCATCTTTGCTAAAAGAATCTCTGTCTGCCTTTAGCTTGCTCTTTTCATGAATGCTTCATGTCACCCTTGACTTAAGGATAGGGTAGATAGGGTGCTGTCCTCTGCTTCTTTTTGAGCCAAAAATTGAAAGTAAGAGAGCCTGTCTGCGATGCAGCTTCAGAGCACATGTATCGCAAATTGAAAAAACTTTTGGCACTCTTTCGATTAGGTGACAGTCATAGACTCCTCACAGCAACTCAAGAGGGAGGAGAACACCTCTGGTCCTGCTGTCGTGGGAAGCTGGCTTAATGGCAACGCATTGCAAGCCACCAAAGACGCCAGTGCTTTGGCATCCTGGCAGCGCGGTACAAAGACAGACAACACCGCCGTGGCTGCAAACGACAAGACTTCAACGATGACAGTCAGACAAATGGACACATGGGAGACCCAATCAAATGAGTAGCAAAAGCTGGTGTAATTCTTCAGGGGCGGCAATGACCTTCACATACTGCTCCTGCTCCAGCTCTGGGCCGAGTTCGAGAAGCAACTCATCGAAAGTCCAGTGCACTTGCAGCTCGGCAAAGCTCCACGCTGCATTGGCCAGGTGCTGTGGTGCAAATTGAGGCCTAAGCAAACCAACCAACCCCCGCATTGACTTTACATATTCTGAGCTTCCATGCGTAAGCCAAGGCTTCAGCTGCTTCAGCCTCGCGAGCTGATGCTGATTCAGCCAAGCTTCTGCAAGAGCTGAGCGGTCCGCACCAAATCCAGGTCATTGGCATCTGCTGTCCTCAAAATAGTTGAAGTGTGTCGATGCAAGTCAACAAATGAATTGCTTACAACTAAACATGCACATTCACAACTGCGGTAAAACTCAAGTGCGGCCACAAGGCTTGGGAGGAGATGCCAAGATTCCAAGAGATCATACCAGGTTGGAAAACTCCTTCCGACTGTGCAAACCAAGTGCGAACTTGCAAAACTAGACCAGGAAGCTACCAGAACGGGCCATCGGCACTGTCTAAGAAACAGCAAACATAGCCATCAAGAACTGCCACAATGGCTGCCTACTGAACAGGTTGTTCATTCATTCAAACGTTGTGGTGTTGTACTGCGTGCTTGAGTCAACTATGAAGTGAATTTTGTTCAAGCAACTGCTGGCTTGAGGCTTAATCACATTGAAAGTTACCGCCTGCGCTTGTAGCTCTGCTATCTTCACTGGCAACCTCGCTACCACAGCATGCAGCAGCGTGTTGTTGCGGTGCCAGAGTGTAGCAAAGCTCCAGGAGCTGTTGGCAAGGGCCTACAATCAGTGAAAGCCAATGAAGGAAACATTGGCACTGCTGGCAAAAACTGAGTACAAAGCAAGCAAACCAGAAAAGTACGAGGACGTGCGTGGAACATCAGGTCTCTGCACAAAGACTGTGCCCACAATCCCTGGTTGGGGTCTCTTCCCAATTCGTTTTGGAAGCAAGGTTGGCCTGCAGATCTTCCAGGGGTGGGAGGTGAAGAGCCACTAGACTAGAATCACTGGAATGCAAGCACAACTTGTCTGAGATCAGACATGATTCTGGTGTCTAAAGCCTCCAGTAGTGAAACTTGGCTGTACACAGCAACTCTAAGGGACAAAAATTTGTGATGTTGCAATGTCCGTTACATCATCATCACCATCATCAGCATAGCTTGCTATTGCTTACTGTATCTGTTGGGCAGTATACTGTAGTCAATATAATATGCCCTTGCCTGCGCATTGAGCTGCGGAATCTTAATCAGGACCGCAGCTGCCATGGTCTCCGCGGTTTGCTGATCACGCTTCGCCAGCGTAGTGAGTCCTTCACAACACGTTACAACCGTATCTACCGAGGCACAAAAATGTTGGTTCTACAATGCATCCAACACCCGTTCACAACCAGCTCACACTGGAATTATATGAAGAGTCAGCAATTGCAAGGGCTAGCAAGTTTCCGTTTGGGTTCCGGGTTGCTGGGTGCCTGGTGCCGAACTTTTGTCCCACGAACAATTAGGTAGGTGTCAGCTGCACAAAAGCGTGCACAACTTGCTTGACCACGGGGTTCTCAAGTCAATTGTAACTGGGTGAGAACCTATGAGAAAACTCTTACAATCCGAAAACAACTGACCGTGATACACTGCCACGCATGCTTTGCAAACGCCCAGCCTCATACAAAGTTGCTTAGACCTTGAGGGGAGAGTTCAGCAGATCGATCTGCGGCAGTGTCCCCAAGCACCACAATTAAGGGTCCATGACAGTGCTTCATTGCGGCTACTTCCCAGGCAATATTCCAAAGACTCTGCGGTCCAAATTGCTTGATCTGGCTTGTAGCAGCTTCGGCGATGGCACGCAGCAACGATGTGTGCTTGGATTCTACAATTCCCAATCTTCAGGCCATGTTTGACAGTTCCCGATGTCCAAAGGTGTGCATGCGATGACTCTAGCTTCCAATCGCAGCAAGGAGCGGTGAATGGACCTCAGCCAGGGTCCCAAACGCCCACGCCATGGCAGTCGTCTCCTGCGCCTTGAGATCTCGAATCTTTCAGGCGCATTCCATCCCAAGGAGACTCAAAGTCTTCCCGCCTTTCCTGATATTTGTGAGTCCCCATGCCATGCTTGCTAGCTGTATGGAGTTGAACTCAGCAATGATCGGCACTGCAGAAGTAACAAGCGCATCCCAGGTTGGCGCATCGCGCAACAGCAGTGTCGACATACTTCACGCAATGTTCGACAGACCTGGTTTGCATCACACAGGAATTTGAAGTGATCACACTGCCAAACTGCCTTCGATCACACTGTATAGAGCCCCGCCTAATTGGCCGAGCTCAGGTCTCACGCACATGGCAACACGCTCCAAGAGCCTTTGTGCCAGTGGGGAAAATATGTTGATGCACAGGAGTTTTTGGCAGCTCTATGGTGTCTTTTGGTCCCCTTACAACACTTCTGCCCAAAGCTGTCATGCTGCTAATTGGCTTCCCGGCCTCTTGCGGATGTTCGGACGTTGGTCAGCAGAACAGCATCTGCCTCCCAAAATCACAAGCTTCCCAGTCCCACTGCTACAAGCACAGATGTTATCATAGGCGAAGATCAGACCTTGCTTCCACTTACAAAAAAGTTTTGACCAAGCCTTACACTTTGCTGCTTTGGTCTTCACAGCTCTTAATACATGGCAACATGCAGAAGAATCAGTCCATCTGGGCTAATCATTAGAAGGACAGCGTCCCCAACTGAAAAGGAACAAAGCTGTGAAGCTGAGGAAGATATGGAGGCAACCTGCCGTGGGACATTTTTGTGTGTGTGAAACCCTTGGAGTCACAGGGAAAACGTAGGTTTGTTCTTGCAGGGGGCAACGGAACGAAGCTACGGAAGACTGGTGGAAGCATTCAGGGACGCCTGAATGTGTACCTGCACTATCTATTGAGCGATTCTTATGTCTGCTCGTAAACAGGAGGCAGAATTCGTCGGCAGATTTGTCTGTCGGTTCAGTTCTCTTTCCTTTTCTACCCTAATGGCACGATTCGTCCGTCTCGCTCCCTAGAACAGGAGGCCTTTGTTTCTTTTTTGTCTACCCTACCCAGAACAGGAGGCTCTGGGTCTTTTTCTCACCTATTACGAGCGATTCATATGTCTCGCTTATCGTATGGAACTACTTGTACTTCTACCTACTGTATCGGGTGCTTGTTCATCAAAGAATTGAAATTTGAAATATGTACTTGCCTGTGCTTTGAGTTTTGTATGCAACCAACTTACTAGCGACGGCCTTTAACCTGTTAATTACGATGGCCCCCCATCTTGATGCGATGGCCCCCAACCTATTTGCGTTGGCCTCCAACCTACACTTCTTATATAATCTAGCTGTGATGTGAGTTCAAACAGCTGTCGTTCCTGGATATAACCAACCTCTAGCGATGGCCTCCAACCTGTAGCGAAGACCTCCCTCCTAGATGCGATGGCCTACAACCCTAGACCTGACCTCTTTGGTTTTATACTCAGGCCGGCATGTGGCATGTGGCATTCAATTTCAGTACGCATTTCCCAACTTTGCCAGCGATACTAAATCGTGCTCAATTCATGCGAGGTGTTTTCTCAATCTGGTCCTCAAATCTGAAAGAATGCTGGCCTTCGGTCTTGGCTTGTCGAATACAGCTAAGAAAGGTAGCAGGATGTAGCAAACCATTTGTCTCACCAAAGCACACTAAATGCTGAATAGTTTTATTGCAGGTCGTACACAGAAGCAAGAAACCCAACAAGAGCAGGTAAGAGTCCTAGAATAGACCCTCTTGACCTCTTTGTGGTAAACACCCTTGCGAGAGACATGGCTGAGACAAAATCTTTGGACTGCTCCTAGTAGCGATGCCCTTTGTTCCTAGTAGTTTCTTATTACTAGTAGTAAGGCCAGGAGCTACTAGTAGCATCCTTGCTCCTAGGCAATTCGATACTCAATGTCATAAGACAAAATTTGCGTGCTCGCTGCAAAGTCTTGGTCCTAGAAGCGGAAAGCCCCGCCGTCCTTTCTCCCTTCCAAAGAAACGCGTCGAAGTGCGGAAGCTGCCAAGAGTGGCAGCTTTTCCACTGCTCAGCAACACAGCTCCCAGTGTTTGTTCAAGGGCATGCATTGGCTTCTAGGATCGTTATAAAGTGCGCTTACAATATATCACGCAAACAAAAGTCTATGCTTGTTAACCCTCTTTATAAAACCGGTCGGGTCAGCTGCGGATCGAAATAGCAAAACCACTTTTCATGGCATGTGTGGCACGGTCAATTGCCACGCCCATTTAAGTTTACTGTATATAGAAACAAAAGGCCTTTCGGTCTGAAAAGTTGCAATGAGCTTGAACTTGAAGAAGTGCAACTTTTGTCCAGCCAGTGTACGCCCGCAACTGCGCTAGAGTCGCTAGAGCTTTTCACGATACAAATAAGCCAGAAAGGCACCTGCAGCGTTGTAGAGCTAGCGGCTCGGCTAAGCGTTTGCGCACCCAAGCACATTTGATCCGCGCACGCGTCCAGCAACTTGGAAGTCCAGGAGCTAACCTGACTTGCATGCAACACCCGACCTGAGGTTATGGATCATGCCCGCGCGCACCTATTCGAACAGGCAGCCATCTGCAGGGCCACATTCTGCCAAGGGAGGTCCACAAACAGGCAGAATCGAGCTGGCCATGGAGAAACTCGGTAGTTACAAGTGCATGTCTGCTTATCATAAGTATTGCATTGGAAGCTTGCAATCTAGATACCTTATGCCGATGCCGGAAATGGTGTCTGTGTGTTGTGATTCTGGGCACTGACAAGACGTTCATGGCTGTGGGCTGCGGTCTGACAGCATCAAAATGAGCAGCAAAAATGTAGACCTCCGGCCCTGTTTCACTCAAAATTCCAACCCTACAAAAGTCTTGTAGCAAACAGTCCAGGGATCACCTGGTGCATCGGCAGAAGTTGAATTGACCAGCTCACTTCCCCCGGTCTTTTGTAGAATATTGGCCTGACGAAGGATATTGTTGCAACATCCCCTGTGGAATTACCGGTGTAGCTTGAGATTTGATTGTATAGTTATAAAACGAAAATCCAGGCTCCGAGGGCAATTTGCCCCACTGTAGAATCAAATATCAACCTCCTGCAGTGCTGGAAACCTGTTCTCTATAGAATCAAGCGCCTCAGGGTATGGGTGTTCATCATAAATCGATAGCAAAAAAGGAGAAAATCAATGATCTATAGAGAAGTGTGGGGACATATGAAGGTTGAAATTGATTTTACAAGATATTTGACAAATGTGGCCCAAGAGGTTGGTTTTGATTTTAAAGAAAAGTGTGGGGACATATAAAGGTTGAAGTCGATTAAAAAACCGATTGAAAGTGGCCCAAGAGGTTGGTGTTTATTTTACAGACATTGACCTAACCTCACAGCACACCATCTCAACCTTCTATTCTCAAAATGCGTTCATCACTATAAAATGAAATATCAACCTACCTGACCTCACAACACACCACCCACTCTAAAATCAATTCTCAAGTTTCTCCTACTGCAGGTTCTTTCTATAGAATCAAATGTTAGGACCTGCATAAAATCTGGTGACATGGCGCGCCCTCTCTATAGAATCAAATGTTGGCACCCATTTTGAGAGAAGAAACTTACTTTTTTGGAACCCATGTTTAAAGTGTGGTGGTTTTTCAGAGAGGTTGATATTTGGTTCTATAAGAAAATTGTCTATTAAATCTGAAGGCCATATTGAGTTCAAGCTCCCCAATTCTATAGAGGATATTCGGCAGAGGACGTTGCAACAATCACTATCTGAATGTGAGCTGGCGGTGTTCAATTGCAACTCAGGTTTTAACCAGCGATGTCAACGATGCACAATGTTTCACGGCGCCATTTGCCCCGGAGCAGGCAACATGTCCTTAGAATTTACCAAAAAGCCAGCGGTCTCTGACTCTGGCAGAGTAGCTCATCCAGCTGAAATTTCCACGTGGAGGCTTTAGACTTACAGTATCACATATCTGTCTGCCCATGTTTAACAATACCTTCAAAACGGTTGTCTCACTGTTGCTTCGGATGTTAGTGCTGGGCATGGTCGTAAGGGGTGGACTCAGTGATTTGTAGGGTGAGGCAGAGGTCTTGCCATTCCTTGACGCAACAAAAACACACGTGATGAGCTGGGATCATTCCAGGCAATGCTCCAACAGTCCAACAGCATGCCCGAGGAGTGCTTGCACAGAATGTTCAATATCTCATACCGGCATGTTTCAGTCGCTTCGCTAAAGGGAAATGCAACCACTATGACACTGCTGCGCCAGCCCACTGCACGCTACACTGTTACACAGTTACACAGGAGATGTGTGATATTATGCGCCGCCTTGTCTCTTCATCACTTCCGCATTCAACCAACCTAGCTTGGGGTGCACAAAGTTTCCATCTTTTGATTTCTGGAGCAGATCATAGCAAAACCCTTGGAGTCACAGGGGGCCTGGTGGTCTTTAAGCTTAATTTTAAGGCAGGGGGACACAGCATTTCACTGGGATTGTGTCATGAAGCTACCAGTGAGGCCAGTTAGAGGTACGTGCGTCTATCCTATAGAGTGATTCTTATGTCTCGCTCGCAAACTGGAGGCAGAGTTCCTCCGTCGGTTCTCTTTCCTTTTCCCTACCACTAGGAGCGATTCGTCTGCCTCGCTCCTTATAAAACAGGAGGTTTCATGTTGTTTTTTGGTCTACCTCACCTAAAACAGGAGGCTCTATGTGTTCCTAACTTCCCTAGGGCGATTCTCGCTCACCGTGTGGAACCGTGTTTAATTCTACCTGCTGTATTGGTTGCTTACTTGTCAATCAAAGATTGGAAATGTGCACTTGCCCGCGCGCTGAGTTTGAATGCAGTTTGTGCGCTGAACTTTGTACGCGGCCAACCTACTAGCGATTCACCTCTAACCTGCTGCGCTGGCCGCTTGCGATGGCCTCCAACCTTATTGCGACGGCCTCCAACCTACATGTTCTATACAAGTTCCACTGCTGTCCTTTCTGCGTGCAATCAACCTACTGTGATGCGACTTCCACTGCTGTCTTTTCTGCATGCAACCAACCTAATAGTGATGGCCTCCAACCTGTTGTGTCGGCCTCCCACCTAGATGGAGTGGCCTCCAACCTAGATGCGACAGCCTCCACCCTACACATAAGTGTTTTTACTTGGCTGGCCAGTGGCCAACTGCCAATCACCGCGCTCCGTGGCCCCGTTGAACGGGGGTTTGTCTATGTCCCTGCGCCTGCAACCAGAGCAGCTCGCGGAGAGCGCAGGAGGTTTATACCAAACGTCAGTTAAGATTTGCCGACTTGGATAGAGCTTTCGCAGGCTCAAGGCCAATAGTTGTCCAGAGCGGACCAGAGCAGGCTGAATGCCATGAGTAGACCGCAGCGGTCGCAGCTATCTCAATGCTTACGCGCACAAAACTAGGCCAGGTGTTCCCAGGTCTGCTTTAATGAGGTTCGGTTTCATCTTTTTTCGGCCCCTCCTTTCTTCCCCTGCACACGCACTCTGTTACTCTTTCTTTTCATGTCTCTCCTGTTTTCATGTCTTGTCACCTCATCCCTTTTTTTGCACACATCGGTCCGGCACTTGGCGTGCACTCGCGCGTGAAACCCAGGTCTAGGTCTGAGGTCGGCCAGGTTGTTGTAACGAGGCATGGCTCATCTGGCTGTCCCTGTTCACTTGGTTCCTTGTCGTCGCAACCACATACACTGTCCCATCTGGTCTTCCTCTCATGTCTGCATATTTTTGTCTTCTGCGCGTGCACACTTAAGCCTTGTCTGAAGCCTAGTTCTCCTTTGGCCCCCCTCTACGGGGAGCATGTGTGTCTGTGTGGCTGTGCGAAACCCTTGGAGTCACAGGGGACCTGTTGCTGTTCGTCTTTAAGTTTAACTTGAACGCAGGGGGACACAGCATTTCATTGGGACTGTGTCCAATGAAGCTACCAGTGAAATGGGATATCCAGCTTGGCCAGCCGGATGTACCTGCGTCTATCCGAAACCAATATTATAATAGAAATTTCTTAATAAAAATATTGGCCCATTCATTATTCATTATATTTATCCGGGGTTAACCTGTATATTAATAAGAGAATTTTCTTAGGTTAACCCCTTATGACATTATATATATCTTGAATTGGGATTTATTCATAAAGAGATTTTCATTAGAATAAATCCCAGGGTTCCTGAAATAATATATATAGTAACCTTTCTTTGATGTCGTTCTCTTTCCTTTTCCCTACCACTAGGAGCGATTCGTCTGTCTTGCTCCGTGAAACAGGCCGCTTCATCCTAAATTACCTAGAGGGATTCATCTGTCTCGCTCACCGTGTGGAACCACGTTTACTTCTACCTGCTGTATTGGTTGCTTACTTGTCAAAGAAAGATTGGACATGTGCACTTGCCCGCGCGCTGAGTTTGAATGCAGTTTGTGCGCTGAACTTTGTACGCGGCCAACCTACTAGCGATTCACCTCTAACCTGCTGCGCTGGCCGCTTGCGATGGCCTCCAACCTTATTGCGACGGCCTCCAACCTACATGTTCTATACAAGTTCCACTGCTGTCCTTTCTGCGTGCAATCAACCTACTGTGATGCGACTTCCACCGCTGTCTTTTCTGCATGCAACCAACCTAATAGTGATGGCCTCCAACCTGTTGTGTCGGCCTCCCACCTAGATGGAGTGGCCTCCAACCTATAGTGACGGACTGAAAGTTAGAATGGGTCGGCGAATTACAAAAATATCACAGCACGCCGGGAAAAATGCCCGGTAAGAATGCGGGGTGCCCCCTTTAAGGTTATATATATATATGGTACCCCTCCCCCCAAAGATCTACCTTTTTCATGTTGCACATATGTTTGTAAAATATAAAATTGAATATATACAAACAGAGAGTTACCCGGCCGCCACCCCAGCCTTAACCTCAGGAGATGAAGATGAATCATATGAATAAAGTTAAAAAGAAATAGTTAAAATAGATTAAATAGATAAAGTAGTCTCCATACGCAATAAGGTAGGCTCACTGCCTGTATTTGCTAAATTTATTGTTCAATTGTTTTCTTATCACAGACTGCCAAAACCAAAAACAAAACAAACAAAACTCTGAGAAGAATCTTTGGTTTCAGCCTGAAAGGTGTTTTTTTTGGTTTTCATTGAGTTTTTTGTGTGGTTGGTTTCATTCATGGAAAAAACAAAAAACATGTTTTTTGGTTTTTGCTTTGGTCTATACGATCACCCATGCCCAAAAACAAAAAAGCACAAGTGTGTTGGGTGCTTCCCTTGTTTTTTTGTTTTTGGGCATTGGTGATTATATATAGACAAAAGCAAAAACCAAAAAATAATGTGTGTTTGCATAAATCAAACCAAAAAAACAACAAAAACTCAATGAAAACCAATAAACAATCTTTCAGGCCGAAACCAAAGATTCTCCTCAGAGTTTTCGATTTTTTTTTGTTTTGGTTTTGTTTTGGATTTGGCTCTAAGTTCGACTTAGTACTATCACCGCAGCTTTTTTTCCAAGCTCATAGTTTTTCTGTTTTTGTCTGCGCGCGATGGTCCGCAAGCAATGCCCGGATTGCCATAAATGGGGCAAAGACCGATGTCTATGTAAACTCCCCACGAAGAACGTCAAGCACTCGGAGAAAGAGATTGTGAAGAAAGCAGCGAAGGTGAACGAGTCTTTGACAAAAAGTGTTTAAGAAAACTATTGGAAGCAAACAATGAAAATGTATTATATAAAACTCCTTCATTCATTCATAAGGTCAATTATGATCAGGTTGTTAATGAACTATGGGAAACTGATCTTACTAAAGAGTACAAAAAGAAAATAGGAAACATCACAACACCGCACAGAAGAGTTACGGTTTCACACTTTGAGGGAGGCTTGCCATTACCAGAGGGAGTTTGGAGGAAGGATTTGTGCCATACAACAAGAAATAGAAAAAGAATAAAAAAACAAACATGCAATACCTATTACATCTTAAACACCACCAATAGAAATGAATTAGTCAATGGGCTTAGAGATATAAAAGAGTTGCTTCTTCAATATCATAACGTTTCAATGTATGAAGCATAATTAATTGTCAGAAAACTATATTAAGGCCTATTCAGTGGAGAGTGATGCCTTCACGATCCATGAAGACGATTTGACTAGAGTGATGGGCAAACCAAATCATCTTTATGAAATCATATCAGACTGGAATATTGAACTTTGAAGAAGGCATAGGCAAGTGGAGACTGACAAACAAATCAATCAAGTTTCCAACCAATAAGTACATATTTAGATATAATGACTTAATTGAAGTTCCAAAACTAGAAAATGAACCAATAGAGGTGGTGGATGAATGGGACCCCCCCCGGAATATGTAAGCAAATTGAAAAACAAAACCCATGCATGATCAGAGCAAAATTTGCTGGATCGGGCAAGAGTTACATAGGTCAGTATTTTAAAAAAGTGCATAAACAAATTTTGTTTGTAGTGCCTCAAAACCGGTTAAGTCAAGAAATAGAAGGTGACGCAACAACCTATAACATGTTTCAAGAATTCCAGTACATAAGGGGGATGAACTACCAGAGTTTGATCATAGCAATTTTGATGTCATCTTCTTTGATGAAATCTATATGACCAATCTTTAAATTGTAAGATAAACGTTACTGAAAAACACAAGGACAATAAAATCATCATAGGAGCCGGTGATACAAAACAGTTAGAACCAATTAATGACTTAACTAACACCCAGTCAAAGACCACAACATGGTCAAAATTATGCCGTTCAATTTGTTCTCTGAGCATATGTATTATATAGTTATATATATATATCATACACATGTACTGTGCTTCATCTGAGCCGCATGACATCATCACACACCACACCACAACCCTGGAAGCATTCTAACTAACCTTTGAAGCATTCTAACGCAATCATTGCCCAGGGTCAAAACGCATTCTAACTTTCAGTCCGTCGCTATAGATGTGATGGCCTCCAACCTACACACACCGTATGCAATATCTCGAGTGTGTGAAACTAGATCGTGAAAAAGTAGTATGCAATATGAATGAAACATGTAATGCGTGTGTGGCTGCAGCATTGGTTCACACACTTGTTTTCGATGTACATTTCCTAATTACCATCTTAAACCCATTGACAAAGCATTCAAGAGCTGTCTCTTCCAATGTGAAGGAATTGTCACGGTTCAGTCGGTCCGACACTAAAAGCTGTGTACAAGTCTCGTAACCTTCTGGCTCTTCTTCGCCGCCACGACGTATGAACTCACCTGATGTTTTACAGAAAGCAGGAATGCATATCACTGTATGTGATGTTCTTGGCAATATTTCAGAAACATGTTACAATGTTCAATAAGTAAGACAGCGGGCTATCTTTCTGCACCAGCTGGAGTAAATACATCTTTCTAGTTCAGTCTTGGCATTGGAGGTACCCAATGTCTCCAAGACTTAAGGTGAGCATATTTAGGGTTGGTCTCACCCGCTGCAATCTTTGTTGGCAAAGCTCACCTGAACGGGACCTAGAAAAGTCTATATTGTGTTCCCTGTGTTTTTTGCCCATGTCTTCACGTCGTTTTTCTTCATAGTCACGCAAAGCCATCCGCTCTTTCATTTCGAGCTCGGGGTGCCACGCCCGCATGAGCAAAAGCATCCGAGGAGCGCCACCTTTCATGGGTTCACGGACAGTCAATTTTCTTTTCATTTCATGGTCGAAGGTACTGATACTGAGAACCCGGTTTTGGATGGTTTTGGGCCAATCAAACGTCTGAAAAATTGTTGTTCATTCAAGGTGTCTCACTCCTGGCCTGAACTGTGAGCTTCACTCCACGCGTGTCCTGAGGGAATTCCAAAAGTGTTGCATGCGTCTGTCATTCGAGGTCCAGTTAAAAGAATGCTTTACTCAATAGAGTTTGTTGCGACGAAACTCCTGTCGCGAAACACCTGAGCATGCCACAAGTATATGGTCGCCGTGCTATGTCTGCCCTGGGTGGTAACACGAACAATGTGCTATATAAGTGTTGGACATCCTGCACACACCTCCTCTGAGAACCTAAAACGATCGATCGCCATCGCCCTGAAAACGCGTGCCTAGAAAATGTAGTTCAAGAGCAAAACTAGACGAAAATGCAAGGTCCAATTGTAACGTTAATTTCAGGCGAGCCAAGCTGAGTCATTGTCCAGGTCAGGCATTTGTGTTCCAATGTTCAGTAGTCTTGTAGAAGAGTGTCGGATCACATGACTGCACCTTGGGCTCAGTTTCCCTACATATTAGTTCTGCGCGTGTCATCATCAATTTGGACTGTTGAGGTACTGACAAGCTTATGAGTTTGACTTGTTGGGTTTATGTGGAAAACCCGTAAATGCTTGCGAAGCCGGGAAACGTCCGAGCCAAAAACAAATGCCAAGTCCAGTGCCAGGCAGGCCATGCTGGCCCTGCCCACACCAAACCGTCTGATGTTTGTGCGCTCTCATATGCGTGCGTGTGCGCCTCATATGTGTACTCTCGTACGCGCGTGCTCTCATATGTGTGCTCCTATGTGCTCTCATATCGACGTGGTCTCACACGTGTGTTCTTATATTTGCGCTTCCATGTGTGCGTCAGTCTCTTTTTCCTTGCTGAACTACAAAGCCGGCGATCAAGGCATGAAATCACCAACCGTGACCAACGAAGCTGCGTGATATCGCGGATGTGGGACTTGTCCCATGTACCTCTCTGCTTGTGAATGTTGTAAACATATTCCACTTGTAAAGGTGGTAGGCTGCTTAGGTTTTGAGGTCCTCAGTCTCGCACTACCTGTTTTACTTAGGCGTCGTTTTTCACCTGGGTTTCTCTGTGGCCTGGGGCATTCAGATCGTAGGCATCATATCTCAAAGTGCGCTTTCATGTGAAGAAAGTATATAACTTCAGAGGTAATTCTACTTGGATGCTCCGTTCTTCTTGGCGTTGTGCTTCTATCTTCCTAATCTCCCAAAGAAATACCCCAAACAGCAAGTTGCGGCGACATCCAAAAAGGCAAGCTGCAAATGAATCACATCCAATGAGACGGTGTGTCCTCTCCCTGGTCCAAACCTTTCAAGTGTCCTAATTTCTGCCAGGTATATACGGAACAGCAAGTTGCACAAACAGACATCAATAAAACCACCTGGTAAATTCATGTAATTCCAAAGTGAATTCTTTCCTCCGCCTGTTCCATAAAATGGTTTCAATGCGACAGTGTTAACTCTCCCTGGTCCAAACCTTTCTGGTTTCCTGGTCTCTCCAAGGGTATACCCCAAACAGCAAGCATGCAAAAGGCATTCAGAAAAACAACTTGCAACAGAGTTAAACGGAATAAACTCTTCAGATGTTGCACTAAAGGTGGATGGAAAAGAATTGCTTGATATAGAAGTTAATTCCGTCTAACTCTTGAAATCAGTCCGTATGCCCACCCTATACAAGTTGAGCTGGGCTCACTACACACAGGTCCGGTACTGGAAGTCAATTCAAAAAGGAATCTTCGAACATGGACCGTTGGCGCAGCAGGATGTGCTTGCTATATTGGGATGCTGGCCTCGTGCTACATGGGATAAAAGACTTGTTGTCCATTCATCATATTTTTTATCTTGTAGTCGATCTATCCTGGTGAAGTCGCTCTTCGCTCTGCACTTCTTTGAATCAAGGCACGATAACGCACTGCATGAGTGAAAGAATCGTCAAATACAAGTGTCCTTCCCAGAGTCCAAGAAACCTCAGCCAGAAGTCTCAACCTGACAAAAGACCTGACATTCCTTTAAATTTGCCGAGTAGTGCTCTTCAATCTAATGGAAGCCATTAGCCATCAAAGAATGAACGAACATCGTCGCAACTCTATCAAAGCCAGAGCTCTGTTGTTTCCTCTGGATGGGTCAAGATCCTGACAGGAAGCTGGAAGAAATGAGATGTTTCACTCCGCAAGCTCTGAAGAGGGCGCTATGTTTCTGGTTAAGAACAATCAAATATGTTTGGTGCAACCAACAAAGGAGCGCACTATGAGTCCTCTTTGCAAAAATGGGCAACAAATATAATTGGGCAACGACTTCGAATTAAACCTCAAAGTATATATGTCAAAGTAAACAGCAAAGAAAAGGCCAAAAGAATGCAAAGCACCGACAGAACCAAGCTGTCAAAAAAACAAAAAGACTGTCCCTGTCTCTTGCTCGGCCAGCGTTCCGCCCCGCTCCAGCAAGGCCAGCTCGGCTCCAGCTTCTGGTAGCATCACCTAGGATTTTGGAAAAACGCGAGCCAAGCAAAAACGCGTTTTTGCTATGAATTGGAGGGAGGGCCGTTAAAGCTGTGGGGAAGTAGCTAGCAAGCTTAGGGAAGCAAGAAGCAACCCATCCTGTCCGAACCGATTTCTAGTTGCGCAATTTGGACGTAAATTAGCAAAAGTTCAAACAAGCAAAGCAGCACCAGCATGCTATCAGGAGATAGGTTTGCATAGCTGTTTCTTTTCAGAGAACACTCCAAGGCAAATAGCACCAACAGCAAACTCAACTGGCTTGGTTTGCATCCAAGCTGCAGGCAAGTGGTAGGTCAGTTGTCCGTTGGTGTGGCCCTGCCGCACTCTCAGATTGGTAGAGTCTGTCCAGGATTGGGTTTTGGTTGTCAATTAGCCAGCCGATCGGTTGCCAGGCAAAGGGTTACACAAACATCCCTCTGAAGGAAGGCAGGAAGCTCATTTTGGAACGCACGATTAGGATCCTTTTTGCAACACATCGAGTTATGTCGGTTTAGGTTCATTTTGGAACACATGCTTAGGATCAATTTGGACATGGACTCCAAAAAACTGTGTCTCTCCATGGCTGCCTTCTCCAAAAAACTTTCAGGGAGAACAGAAAGGGGTACACGGTATACTACGATTCATTGAAAAAACGCCTCCCTTCTCTAAAGGACGTTTTCCTCAAGTGGTTCGTTCACAAAAGGTCTGCCAAGGTCTGCTACATGTTGGAATGGAACCTTCCTCATCTAAATTTGAGCCTCGGGCGGGTCACCAAAAGGTATGCTACGTTGGAACGCCTCCTTCCTTCTCAAAATTTTACCCACGGGTGGTTCCTTCCTCTTACAAAGTTTACCCTCAGGAAGGATCACCAAAGGTATGTTGCATTGAAAAGACTCCTGTCTTATCTGAATCTTTTCCCAGGCTTTGAACTTTCGTGGTACTCCGAGCGGTGGTTTTCTTAAGTGTTGCTATCGTTCCCATAGAAACCATATCACATGAACCCAAAAACTAAAACCTTGAAAAACCACCGCTCGGACTACCACAACAAATACAAAATAGATGCACGTTCAGTCGGAATGCCACACGCCTAAAGGAAAACCGGGGCGTAAGTAAAAGCGTTTGATTCACTCGTGACTTTCAAATGCGCTGAAGAATGCTGGCTGGCATACAGCTTAGATTAAATTCAATCTTCAGAACCATGCTTGCAATTTCTGGCGACCCGAACATTGCCCTAAAACATGTAAGTCCAATCGTTCATAAGAGGCATTGGAGCATAAAGCAACAAAATTTAAAGACTACACGACGGATGGCCCGGGAGTGTGGGAGGGAAGGTTATGTAGAAGAGGGCGTGCGTAGTAAGAGATGTGTCTAAACACACTTGGGAGCTTTGTAGCTGCATTTGCATGTATGCTGCAAGATGATACAAGTATGCCCGCAGTTCGCACGCTTCTAATCTTCTTGCTGCGGAAGGAGTAAGATGAGACTCGTGGACACCGCCAATCATCCCGCTCCCCAGAAACACGCCGAATTTACACCAGCAAACTTTCCTTCCCCCAATAGCATGGACTCACGCTAAAGCACCTTCCACCGTGGCCACGCAAAACTGCGTGGCACAGCGACATCACCGGCGGAATTTGGCCACACAGCGTGCCACAGACTAGATACAACACTGTAACATTCAGCATCGTGGGCGCCGCCAATCATCCCGCTCCCAAGCAGCATGCCGAACTTACACCAGCCTGTTTTCCTTCCCCCAATGGCACGATCACGCAATCGCACTTTTTGACAGGCTCCTAGAAGCTGCTTCCCATACATTTGCGCTACCAAGTGCCCAGTTCTGATGCCACTGCTCCCAGCTGCTTCCCGCACTACCCGTACTACATTTGTACTACCAAGGTCCCATTTCAATGACAGTTGCACACTTTAGCAACCTCCACCTCCGTTTTCGACGACGATTACACACTTTTACCAACGTCCAGCTTCCGGCGCCACTTGCAACGACGGCTGCGCACTTTGGTTTCTGCCACTGCCACTTTGGACGACAGTTACATTATACACTTCGGGAGACAAATTAATAGAAATGCTACATGGCCAACAGAAAAGGGCGGAAAAGGGCGGACACCAGCAGTGACAGACCTGGGAGACAAATGAACAGAAATGCTGCATGGCCAGCGGAAAAGGGCGGACACCACCAGTGACAGACCTGGGAGACACATGAATAGAAATGCTGCATGGCCAGCGGAAAAGGGCGGACACCAGCAGTGACAGACCTGGGAGACAAATGAATAGAAATGCTACATGGCCAGTGGAAATGGGCGGACACCAGCAGTGACACAAAGACAGTAAACTGCTTGGGGAATGAGTATTCTCTACCTACAGAGCTTGACAAAAAAAACAGTGTGGATACAGTCGAATGTGGAACTTGGTTGAGGAGCACGTTCATCAATTCTGCTATTCCGCTGATGGCACACCTCTTCGACGCAATGAACCTTTGAAAGTAGTTTGTGCATGCGCCTGATGAAAAGGAACCCAGCTGTTGGGCATCAAGATACTGATCAAGACGTGGCTCCATGGGTTTGTCCACACCTCGGGAGACGCCTCAACCAGACCTTGGCGAACAAGCGATGCCTTTTCCTCATACCTCCAAAAATGCTGGGTTGGCATTCCAATATAATTAGCTGGTGAAATGTCTGGTTCCAGTGGAGTTTCTTCTCTCGAACCAAGGCCTTTCACGATCCAAGCAGCTGCAGGTCACGCGGAAGTAGCGATCACACAGCTGCCTGTCGAAGGCACGGCCGCGCCAGAGACGGACATCTTGCCAAGTACCATTGCCAGCAATGAGCCTGTCGAAGCCTCGAAAGAGGCACGGTGTCCGCAAAAATGGCAAGGGATGATTAGCAAGTTCAATTCCGACTCCAAAACTGGCACAGACTGTAGGAAAGCGACTGAACAAGATCTTCATGTCTGCTCATGAATGTATCGGTCAATGTCTCTGCGTGGGTGGTCGATTCAAGATGGCACTCTGCCCGGCCAACACCATTCTCATGCAAAGCAGCTGGTGGTGTGGGCACCCACACCTCTCAAGTGGTCCTTTCAGCAGTGCTCAAAAAAGCGCAGAGTTGCCAAAAGCCTGATAGCCTTTTGAGAACTCAAGTTACAAATGCTCCAAATGAGATCGCTGCAGGTTGAGGCTGGGGGGTTCTCGAGAAGTAGTTCAGTTTGAGAAGCATTCTCTACAAATATCAACAATATTAATATTAGTCACCTTTGCCTCTCACCTTGGGCAACAAAGAAATAGGTCTTGCCTCCATATTTGCTGTTTCTCAGATGTCCTTGAGTTCATGCTTCAGCGACCAGAAATGCAGCAACTCCTTGCTCACCGCGCCAAAGTGCGCATTAAGTCGCTGAGCCAGTGGCAGATCGCCTTGCGCTCACACACTTTTCAATTTGCAAGCAAACTCAGCCAAAGGAAAGTAACTCCGTAGTGAACCAGTATATAGTCTCATCCAAACAAAGGATTGCCTGAATTGAAATCCGCCCGCACAGAAGGCGCTGATGCGTGTCAAAAGCTCGCGTACTCACTGCTAGAATGTCGGTTTCGCTGCCCGAGTGAGAGTGCAAAAATGACATCCTGTGTGCTTGCCCCTGTGGAGACCGACCAAAACAGACCGACCGAGACAGACAGACCCACACTCTCCGTGCGAGCGGCTTCGACCGCGAAGCGGTGTGAATAAAATCCCCATTGCTACCGACAATAGAGGTCGACCACACTAATTTTATCCAAAAACTGTCAATACAATGGGTTATAATGGGTCAGAGGTGTTTCAAGTCATGAAGTCTTAAAAATGTGTTGAAGAAAGTCCGTTCTATGAACAGTTATCTAAAATGGGTCTGGAAGTCATGACTTCAAAAAACTGACCATGACGGAAATCGGAAAAGTAGTATAAAATGGGCGGAGCAAACCTAAATGTTGGCACAAAAACGTAGGAATAGCCAAAGCGATAGATAATCTGGCGGAGCAAACCGTTTAGGTTTCCACACCCACCTTATTTAAGACTCATTTGATTTTTCCTACTAGTTAAGTGAGTCATATAAACTGACAAGAACGTGGTTGACCACACCCATTTTAGATTGTCGGTAGCAACGGGGATGAAATAAATAACTCAACAGGAATGCGCGACAATCCTGAAAGCAAGTGTCGGCTGCAGCTAAGGTACAGCTATCAAGACACCACACCTTGGCATAAACTGTGTCTAAGTCTAAACACTGTTCAGTTTGACTTTTGTTGGGAGTTCTCTTGTAACTTTTTGAGGGCCCAATTTACGAGCGTACCACAAGTAGGGAAATTTGCGATTCCGGCAAATCAGCCAAAGGACAGGTCTGGACGTCAATCCAGGATGATACCACCTCAGGTCGAAGCACCCAGCGCTTCTTGAACGTCTGCAAACTTTGTCCGGTAATTGAGTGTTTATGATGTTCTCTCTCACGTCCAAAAGTTTGGGCCCTTGGCCACAGGGCTGACAATGTTTTGCCAGGACACTCGGAGGCCACAAGCGACTGCACGACTTGCACAGGAAATGCGTGTAGCTTTCGTATTGCTCCTTACGATCATGCTGCACACTTCCGGGAGAGAGTCTGCGCACGACTGAAGCCACATAATATATATATATATATATGTATCCGCCGACACTTAGCTGACGTCTTGGCGGGGCGGCGCCGGGGACACCCAGAGCGTTTCGCCGTGGCGAAGCTGTCGTTTTCCGCCCAAGCAGATTCAGAGTGTGGCGAAGGGTTTTCGCTGGCTGCGGCTCGCAAGGAAATTGCCGGGAGCCTTGGAGTGAGCCTCTGGCACGTGCCACGGCTCGCCCCTTTTTGGTGTGGAATTAGATGGTGGAAAGCTGTGGTGAAAGAAATTGCCGGGAGCCTAGGCAACTGTGTTTATGGGCTCCCGAAGGCCACGTGCCAGGCAACGTTGCGCATTCTCGCTGGCTGCGGCTCGCCCTTTTTTTTGGTGTGGAATTAGATGGTGGCAAGCTGTGGCGAAGGAAATTGCCTGGAGCCTTGGGAGTGAATCTCGGGCGCGTGCCAGGCAACTGTTTTACGGGCTCCCGTAAGCACAGGTCCGCATAGAGCCAGTCAAAAAGCCTAACGTTGCCTGGCACGTTGCCTTCAGGAGCCGATAAAACAGTTGCCTGGCACGCGCCAGAGGCTCACTCCCAAGGCCCACCACACTGAGGTCTGGTCTAGTCCAGGGAAAGGTATCGCAGCGGAGGGTTTCAAGCCTCGCCAACGACACCATCTATTTCCACATCAAAAGGGCGAGCCGCAGCCAGCGTTTCCGGCCAGGCAAACGACACCGTCTATTTTTGCCCACAACAGCGGTCGGAACGGGGGGGGTGCCCACTGCTTAACATTGCTTTCGAAACCCTAAAGAAAAGAGGTGCAGGCCAAGGCCTTAGGCTGGTGTGGCCAGTGCCTAACGTCTGCGCAGGGTTTCCGGCAGGGCAAACGACACCGTCTATTTCCACGCCAACAAGGGGCAGCCAGCCCAAATGCCTAGCACGTTGCCTTCGCGATCCGATAAAACAGTTGCCTGCCAAGCGCCGCAGCGCAGCCTTTCAAGCCTAGCCAACGACACCATGTAAAAGGGGCGATCCGCAGCCAGCCAAAATGCCTAACGTTGCCTGGCACGTTGCCTTCGCGAGCCGATAAAACAGTTGCCTGGCGCGTGCCAGAGGCTCAAGGCTGCTTTTCCAGCGCGCAGAGGTCTAGTCCAGCGAAAGGCCTGAGGGCTGGAGGGTTTCAAGCCTAGCCAACAACACCTCCGCTGCGACCAGCCCGCAGGCCTTTCCCTGGACTGCAGTGAGCTCTGCGTGGATATCCCGCCTCAGTTCGAGCGTGGCGCTGGCCTAGCCTCTTTTCTTTAGGGCTCTGCAAGCGACGTTAGGCATGCGGGCGCGCCAGCAACGGCGCTTGGTGGCCATCACCTGGGCTGCTGCACGCCTGCACCGGGGCCTGGCCGCTGTTGACCACCCCATCTTTGACACGAAACTGACTGCCACACACCGTTCGATGGTCCACAAGTTCAGTTTTGACGTTACTTGACACAGTAGCTTTGCACCATGGGCAACAATAAGCACAACCTTTCACGGCCACCTTTCCTTCCCTGACAGCGAAAAAATTCCCCCGCGCTTGCCGGTGATTCGCGTGGCCTGCGCGCACGGTGCTGCTGACACACGCATTGTAGAAGGGACACGCGTATATTGGTATGGCTTTCTCGTCTGCGTCGCACGTCGTTCTTCCTGCGCACGGCGCTGCGCTTCGGCTTTTCATGTTGCGGCGTTCGTTTGCGCGCACGCTTCTTGCGTGTCCGGTCCACTGTGTTCCCTTTTTCGTTTCTGCGACTTTCTCGGGTCTGCGTCTCTTACACCGCTTCTTTTGTCCACTGCGGACGCGCCTGGGCGTGTGCGCCTGCTGCGTTGGCCTCTCTGGCGCGGCCGTTGTCTCTTCTGTGGTCGTTTCTGTCCCGTCTTCTTTTGCGTTTGTCTTGAGAATCTCCGTCTTGCGCTTCTGTTGTCCCCTCCGGCGCTTGTCCTTGTCTCATGGGGGCACACCCGGAAACCCAACTGCCAGACCGCGCGTAGGCAGTCAGGCTGTCCATGTGTGGCGGCGTTATGTACAGCGACCCCCCCCAAAACGCTGCCACCACGTAGGTAAAGATAGCGTGCATGGAGGTTCTGGGGTCGAACAACAGACAACCTATACGCGCGCCCTGCAGGAAAGAACCGGGACACTCCTATAGGTCAATTTGTTCTTATAGGAAACTTCCGCCGCCGGCTTGCCCGGGAACTACTTGTATATATATATAAATATAGACCCTTTGATGCGTTGCCCTATCAAAAGGGACGCAGCGTGGGAAGTTCTTTGCTGTTGCAGGCCTGGCGTGGAGAGAGCATCGACTGGGCGACGTTGCGCGCGCACTACCGCCAGGAGGAAGCGTGCAGCGAGTGTCACGAAAGCAAACCCAAAAGCGCGTACAGTGCCGGGCATACGCCCTGGCAGTGCAAAGTCTGCAAAGCATGGAAGCAAGAAGAGGCCTTTGCAACAATGTACGCGCGCCCCCAATGTACTTTCTATACCGTGTGTGCCGGACGTGCGAAGCACAGAAGCGGTGCTTCAAGTGTAGTGTAGCAAAGTTGGAGAGGCGCGTAATGCAGACCGACGTAGGTGAAGGGTGAGAGGGCAATGCAGAAGCCGTGTTTTAGGCGCGGCGTGGCAAAGGCGGAGGATGCCTTTGGGGTTGCCGCGTGTCAGGCACGCAATGCAGACCGACGTGTCTGCAAGGTATGCGCCGTGAAAGGACAGGGTGCACGGAGCGGAAGGCGTGCATGGACTTCAGCGCGCGGTCAAAGCGGCGCGCCGCGCGCCAGGATGGGGCACAGCGTTGCAACGCTTGTGTCCTGTGCGCGGCCGCGGCAGCGCGCAAACAATAGACCTGCCCAGCTCAGACGACGGCTTGCCTGGGAGCGGCGCACGGCTGTGGTGGCGGATGTCCGCGCACTTCGCCGCGCTGCTCCAAATGGCAAGGAAGTCAGTGATGCGCGCGCAATGGGAAAGTGGACACGCAGTGTTGCGGCCACCGCCGCAGAACGCCTCCGGAACACACGCAAACGAGTCGACATGGGCAGAGGAGAGGAGGGGAGAGAGGAGAGAGGAGAGAGGAGAGAGGAGAGAGGAGAGAGGAGAGAG